TGTGGTGTCTTCCGCACTGAAAAATGTCTCTAAATTTCATGCTCCTCATAGAACTTCTGAACTGCGAATCAGTGTACTCTGTGTCATTATCGGATCTCAAATACTTGATCTTTCTGCCAGTTTGGTTCTCCACCTCAGCTTTCCACAACTTGAATTTAGAGAATACTTCAGATTTCTGCTTCAAGAAAGAAATAGACCCAAACTTTCCTAGAGAAATCATCAATAAAGGTAACGAAATACTAAGATCCTCCCAATGACAACTTTCCACAGCTCTGATACCAATTATTGAGAAAATTAGGGCGAAGAAAAATAGTAATCGACACAAATCCAGAAGAACACAGAGATTTAACGAGGTTCGGCAAAGATGTCTATGTCATCGGGAGCAGAGCGGCGAGTTCCTTTCACTATTCAGAAAAGATGTTACAGAATTCAGGAATACCTCATGGGTTACTAACAGACCTATTTATAACCCCAGGAGTAAACCCTAGGCACAATACGTAATTACAACATTACCCCTGTACCATACTGCGAGGTTTTGGCCCCGCACCCCAACCCACGTAACTTCCCAATTTAGACAGATTCTTCCGCTCTGCTCCGCTCCGCTTCGATCCAACGTCTGTCCCTATATGGTATATGAGTCATACCATAACATTACCCAACCATTATCACTTGATCACCACCGTCTAACAATGTTCAACTGACCACCGTCACCTAATTAACCACTGTAAATCATTGTTGCACCATCATCATTGCTTGATTAAAATCACTTAAAAACAATCGCTCAACCTAAATCGTCCAACTCGTCACTTAACCACCATCACCAAATCTCCATCACCCAATACTCTTTTGCCTAAACATAATTCCCTTATCAAAAACATCCAACTTTGGTCACCAAATCACCATCACCCAATATTCTTTTGCCTAAATATAGTCAAGAACATTATTATCTAACCATTATCACCTAACGATGATCATCTTATCGCCACCACTTGATTATCACCACCAGATCTTACTTGCTTGACTATTATTATCAAACCATAATAGCCTAACTACTGTCACCAGACCATAGACGCCCAAACTTTTAAAGAGAAAGATCAAATATATAAACAATGATGTTTTGAAAACAAAGATCATCCACGTCCGATCCAAATCAGATGAAGCCATTAGGTTCAGTTAAAAGGAAAATAATCTGAGAGGTGGGACACGAGGATAATACGGCAGACCTGGTCGGCTGAGGCGAGTAAGGAAGAAACGCTCGCCGGACTCGAGTCCGTAAGCGGCTACTGCGGCGGACCGAAATCTCATGATGTCAGCATATACAACAAGGAGACGGTCTCGCTTCCCATCGATTGCGATCCCTAGAGAGGCGTTGCCGGCGACGTCAGCGTCGGCGATCACCGTACGCTCCTGCAAGTCGGAGCTGTCGGCGGTGTCCGGGAGGCGAATCTCGGCGATTCCTCCGTCGAAGAAGGTGGATATGAGAAATCTGCGACGTGGATGGTCCCATTTGGCGCACTCCCTTAACCAGCCGTGGCTAGTGTACTTGAGAGAGCCATTGGTAGAGGTGGCTGCTCGCTCCAGAGAAACGATCAGGGAGAAGGGGATGGCGGTGGCGAGGACTAGAAGCACCAAAGTGCGTCGCCCGCAGCAGCCGCCGAAGAAACTCGCCATTGGAGGAGGATGATCGGAGCTGCGTAAATTGTTGACACACACCGGAATGAAAGATCAATGGCGAATGTTAGTTGGAATTCTGCAACTCATCAAATTAAGAAATGGATTGAGATTGTTGACCTAATTCCTGAAAATTTCAAACAATGGTTGGGAACTTGGGATTATGATGACTGATCCTCAACTCCACTTGGACTCCGCTAAAAATTAATCCAAAAAAAAAAATCCATCTAAAATTTTGGCATTTAGCTGCAATTATTTATTTCTATTTGAATTAAATTTTAAATTAATTTTTGAATAATTAACAATAATCAAGCTAAATTCATA